ACTTTGCCCACTGCCTCATCGCCTTTGAAAATGTTCACCGCAGTTGTGGACGAAACGTCAGGAAGAAATTCCGATAGACCACGGGTTCAAAGCCCGGAAAACATTCCTAAATGTAATCTGACCGGCCGTGAAAGCCTTCATAGTCTGATAAAATAGCATTTGTTGCATCTGCCCAGTGGAGTAGTGGACGAACTACATTTAAATTTTTATAGGCGCTATTTACCTAGGCTGGACATGTTTCAATATTTGTTTATATCAAACATAGCTGAAGTATTAAATGGACAATTCAATTCAATTAAGCGATAAGATGAATTGTAATCAGTGATTAGCATGAAAATAGAAGATTTTTCACATTTTACTGCCCTTAAGTGGAAAAGGTAAAAAATGTGGTCACCTTTTTTTGTGTTCAAATAAAGTTTCGATAAAATGGTAAAACGTTACTCATAAAAAATGTTATGACTTTTTTTGAACATCAGCCCTTGCATACATAAAGGAACAAAAGGCGTTCGGTCTTCGGTCATAATTTATTGCTGATCCAGCAAAATCGCACCCAAATTACTAGGAAGTGGCGTGGATATCCTTCAATGGAACAATTAGTGCAGTCGGATTTGATTAGATTTTTTCCGGGCACTAAATAGATGAACGTAAAATTTTTTTCAATTAATTTGGTTTTGCATCAAAAAATCTCACTATAACTTTTTTTGAAGGTGTTTGTATACTCTATAAGTGGTATAAATTTTAGTTCCAAATATTCATAACTTTTTGTTCATTCCTATTTGTTATGTAAACAGGGCTCTTGCCAGATTCTAAATACATTTTTCTTGAGACGTCGGAGATACTTCTCTGAGGCTGTATTTTACTCGTAAAAGAGTTATACTACAACGTAAAGTAAATGAAAATTTTATTACTGACTGGCCAAAAAAAGTTATGGTACCATTTTCGTGAAACAACACTAAATTAATTATTGAAAATTAACAAAACGCTGAAATCGACGTTTTTTTTTGATTTTTGAGTAAACTAATGAACGGATTTTAATGTAGTTTATCTGATATCATAGGTATTTTTAATACTTGAAAAACGGGTATTCGCACTTTCTTTAATTATTTAATTCCAAAACCGGAAATCGAGCACAAACTATAGTCTCAATATTCTGACATCCTTTCGAACCACTTCCAATAAACTTTTACCATCATATTTTCAGTGCCCAAAACAGGCCTTTATTATCGGCCTTTAAAGTGTAATCTGACTGGACTCAAAATACGCTTCAGCCCGGTTTCAGGTACAAACCAATATTTATCATGGGCGAAAATAACATGTGACTAAAAATCACAGATACTTGGAACAGGTACACATGGAACCTGTGCTGAAAAGTACTGGTTTGTGGCATCCCTAATGTGAAATAAAATTCGATAATCATGAAGATAACAACCTAAGCCAAAAAAGCGAAGGTGCCATAGTGATTCTCTGATTAACTAACAGACGATTAGTTTGCGACGGTGCAATGCATTTTTTTTAAACACCGGTTAAAATATAATCAGTGTTTACAGCGAAAACGGTGCAACGGGCGGTTAGCTTCTATAAAATGTTTGTGAACTGCCCATGAACCCAACTGCAATCGATTATTCTATTCCAGATAAACACTTGTACACACGTATAATAATTGCGAGAAAGGCCTACAACAGGAACACCGTTTGAACATAAGCAAATCAGTTACCAGAAAAAAGGAAAATCTGCTTTGCCTATAGGGTGTTTAATTAATGTAACTATGAGTACAAATATGAGCGATGAGTTTTTAACAGGCGATCAGTTCAACAAAAATCTTTTTTTTTTCATTTTATCAACCGAAAAGATTCCTTCTTCTTTTCAACCGAAAAGAAGAAGGAAGAAAATCCAAAACTAGCGGTGTTGTCCAATCAGGAATCTGTAGTGGAAAAGGATGATGATGAGCAAACCGCTAGCTCCAGTAACGAAAATATCGAAAGGATCATCAATGATGACAGTTTAAATAATTCGGAAACTATCGAAAACAGTATATCATCCGACTGCAAAGACGACCAGGTAATCTCGAAAAAGGAAGCACTTCAAGATCAAACTAAGAATGAAAATAAAAATCAGACAAATACCGCCGAACCAGTCGAAGTAAAAAAAGTGCAAAGAAACAATTTGGATGAAACACCGAAAACGGATTCGGAAACAGAAACGGGTTCTAGTATCGGTTCTAGTACGGTTAGTATCGATGAACTTGATCGACGCTCAGCTGCGGACAAAGCACGATCCCCCAAAGCACAAAATGAAACCGCACAAAAGGATTGTGCTCGCCTGATACCGGATAAATTAAAACCATATTCAGACAATTAAAAATCGCGTCTTAGAGTCATAGTGGAATAATCGTTTTGTTTCTTTATAATGGAGATATTTCCATCTGGCATTAAATAATAGAAATTATACGAATTAATATTTCAATACTAAAATTGATATCAAATCCGGCGAACGGGAGTGAGAGCCACGACTTAACTATCTTCTGCCTCCAAAAAGATCAAAAGAGTGTAAAAAACCGACGTTTTCGTGGTTTAAATAAGGACGCATTTCCCAAATTTTGTTTGATTTACAAGCGAATTCAGGACTCAATTTCTTTTCCAAGAAGCTGCTTTTTTTATACCCTTTAATCATCACCCGAAGCTCCGATAAATATTTTGATCGATAGAACGTATCTTAGGCAAATGTAAAAACAGTTATCGTGCGTGTGGTAAAACGAATTTGATTCTTCCCTCACTCGAGCCAAGCTTTCCCTTACTTACGCTAACTCAGTTCGATAATATTCCATGAACTCAGCACATGACGCTCGAAGACTTGATAGCTGTTCGGGATGGCATCGAAAGCAACTCCAATCATCACTGTTTCTAATTTCTTTGAATTTTTTCACTCCAAAATTATTTTTTATGCATCTCTAAAAGGAATTTAATTTGAACAAAATATCCAAAAAAACATCTTTCGCAATTCACCTTGCAAAACACGAATTCGCATGATGAACAGCATAACACTTGGCCTCCTTGTCCACACCATCTAAATGAGTAACAATGTTAACTTTAACTTTTCAAAGAAATGTTTTAGGAAAAAACTACCTGCAGTATAGTTCACTTCCGTCTTCGTCCTTTTTAAACTCACCGCTGGTGTTAAAGTGATAACAATTCTTGCAGATCAGAACTTTCAGCAGCAGATGCACAAACCGGTTGTTTGCTCCTATCATGGCACTGCCCAGATGAACATTACATGCAGTGCAGTGTATTTTGCTATTTTGAACCAGATTGTCTAAAAAAA